TATATAGGGGTAGCAGCATGGGGCCCGGCAGGTCAAAAATTTCTACACACCAGCAGTGTGAGGATTCATCTAACTACTTGAGGAATACATATGGTGGCAGCAGTAGGAACTAGGGGCCTATTGATTAATGGCCAGCTATGGAGGCCCGTAATGCCAGCACCCTATGTCAAAAAATTCTAAAGCACACAGCTATGCAGTGTGTGAGGAGACCTGAAAGTGGCACATGGCAGAGTGCCCATTTGGAGGATGGGACAGCTGCAATGGGAGGCCTGGTACAGGGACCCATGACAGACTCTGGCTGGCAGGGCAGCAGCATGAGGAGGATGGTATATAGGGGCCTATGGCAGATTAGGGGCCTGGCAGCAGCTATGGGAGGCCCGTAATCTGCCAGCACCCTATGTCAAAAAATTTTACACACCAGCAGTGTGTGAGGAGACCTGAAAGTGGCACATGGCAGAGTGGACGTGTCACCGATAGGAGACAGCAGCAATGGGAGGCCGTACAGGGACCCATGATAGAACTTTCTGGACATGGCAGCACCCCTGAGGAGGCGGTGATATCACGCAGCATATATATTGTGTGTAAAAGGTGCTCTAGTATTCAGCGCTGCACCATTTTATTTTAACACATATGTTTGCTATGGGAGGGAATCACAGCACCCTTTGTCAAAAAATTCTTACACACCAGTGTGTGAGGAGACCTGAAAGTGGCACATGACTGTGGTATACGATGGAGACAGCAGCATGGGAGGCCGTACAGGGACCCATGAGAGACTCTGGACCTGGCAGCATTAGGGGGTATATATAGGGCCCATGGCAGATTAGGGGCCTGGCAGCAGCTATGGGAGGCCCGTAATCTGCCAGCACCCTATGTCAAAAAAATTCTACACACCAGCAGTGTGTGAGGAGACCTGAAAGTGGCACATGGCAGAGTGTGGCGATGGAGACAGCAGCAATGGGAGGCCGTACAGGGACCCATGAGAGACTCTGGGACTGGGCAGCAGCATGAGGAGGCGGTATATAGGGGCCTATGGCAGATTAGGGGCCTGGCAGCAGCTATAGGAGGCCCATAATCTGCCAGCACCCTATGTCAAAAATTCAACACACCAGCAGTGTGTGAGGAGACCTGAAAGTGGCACATGGCAGAGTGTGGCGATGGAGACACTGTGGAGGCCTACAGGGACCCAGCAGCATGGGCAGCAGCATGAGGAGGAGGCGGTATATAGGGGCCCATGGCAGATTAGGGGCCTGGCAGCAGCTATGGGAGGCCCGTAATCTGCCAGCACCCTATGTCAAAAAATTCTACACACCAGCAGTGTGTGAGGAGACCTGAAAGTGGCACATGGCAGAGTGTGGCGATGGAGACAGCAGCAATGGGAGGCCGTACAGGGACCCATGAGAGACTCTGGACCTGGCAGCAGCATGAGGAGGCGGTATATAGGGGCCTATGGCAGATTAGGGGCCTGGCAGCAGCTATGGGAGGCCCGTAATCTGCCAGCACCCTATGTCAAAAAAAAATTCTACACACCAGCAGTGTGTGAGGAGACCTGAAAGTGGCACATGGCAGAGTGTGGCGATGGAGACAGCACAGCAGCAATGGGAGGCCGTACAGGGACCCAGAGAGACTCTGGACCTGGCAGCAGCATGAGGAGGCGGTATATAGGGGCCCATGGCAGATTAGGGGCCTGGCAGCAGCTATGGGAGGCCCGTAATCTGCCAGCACCCTATGTCAAAAAATTCTACACACCAGCAGTGTGTGAGGAGACCTGAAAGTGGCACATGGCAGAGTGTGGCGATGGAGACAGCAGCAATGGGAGGCCGTACAGGGACCCATGAGAGACTCTGGACCTGGCAGCAGCATGAGGAGGCGGTATATAGGGGCCTATGGCAGATTAGGGGCCTGGCAGCAGCTATGGGAGGCCCGTAATCTGCCAGCACCCTATGTCAAAAAATTCTACACACCAGCAGTGTGAGGAGACCTGAAAGTGGCACATGGCAGAGTGTGGCGATGGAGACAGCAGCAATGGGAGGCCGTACAGGGGACCCATGAGAGACTCTGGACCTGGCAGCAGCATGAGGAGGCGGTATATAGGGGCCTATGGCAGATTAGGGGCCTGGCAGCAGCTATGGGAGGCCCGTAATCTGCCAGCACCCTATGTCAAAAAAAATTCTACACACCAGTGTGTGAGGAGACCTGAAAGTGGCACATGGCAGAGTGTGGCGATGGAGACAGCAGCAATGGGGGGCCGTACAGGGACCCATGAGAGACTCTGGACCTGGCAGCAGCATGAGGAGGCGGTATATAGGGGCCTATGGCAGATTAGGGGCCTGGCAGCAGCTATGGGAGGCCCGTAATCTGCCAGCACCCTATGTCAAAAAATTCTACACACCAGCAGTGTGTGAGGAGACCTGAAAGTGGCACATGGCAGAGTGTGGCGATGGAGACAGCAGCAATGGGAGGCCGTACAGGGACCCATGAGAGACTCTGGACCTGGCAGCAGCATGAGGAGGCGGTATATAGGGGCCCATGGCAGATTAGGGGCCTGGCAGCAGCTATGGGGAGGCCCGTAATCTGCCAGCACCCTATGTCAAAAAATTCTACACACACCAGCAGTGTGTGAGGAGACCTGAAAGTGGCACATGGCAGAGTGTGGCGATGGAGACAGCAGCAATGGGAGGCCGTACAGGGACCCATGAGAGACTCTGGACCTGGGCAGCAGCATGAGGAGGCGGTATATAGGGGCCTATGGCAGATTAGGGGCCTGGCAGCAGCTATGGGAGGCCCGTAATCTGCCAGCACCCTATGTCAAAAAATTCTACACACACCAGCAGTGTGTGTGAGGAGACCTGAAAGTGGCACATGGCAGAGTGTGGCGATGGAGACAGCAGCAATGGGAGGCCGTACAGGGACCCATGAGAGACTCTGGACCTGGCAGCAGCATGAGGAGGCGGGTATATAGGGGCCTATGGCAGATTAGGGGCCTGGCAGCAGCTATGGGAGGCCCGTAATCTGCCAGCACCCTATGTCAAAAAAATTCTACACACCAGCAGTGTGTGAGGAGACCTGAAAGTGGCACATGGCAGAGTGTGGCGAGAGACAGCAGCAATGGGAGGCCGTACAGGGACCCATGAGAGACTCTGGACCTGGCAGCAGCATGAGGAGGCGGTATATAGGGGCCTATGGCAGATTAGGGGCCTGGCAGCAGCTATAGGAGGCCCGTAATCTGCCAGCACCCTATGTCAAAAAATTCAACACACACACCAGCAGTGTGAGGAGACCTGAAAGTGGCACATGGCAGAGTGTGGCGATGGAGACAGCAGCAATGGGAGGCCGTACAGGGACCCATGAGAGACTCTGGACCTGGCAGCAGCATGAGGAGGCGGCGGTATATAGGGGCCTATGGCAGATTAGGGGCCTGGCAGCAGCTATGGGAGGCCCGTAATCTGCCAGCACCCTATGTCAAAAAAATTCTACACACCAGCAGTGTGTGTGAGGAGACCTGAAAGTGGCACATGGCAGAGTGTGGCGATGGAGACAGCAGCAATGGGAGGCCGTACAGGGACCCATGAGAGACTCTGGACTCTGGCTGGCAGCAGCATGAGGAGGCGGTATATAGGGGCCTATGGCAGATTAGGGGCCTGGCAGCAGCTATGGGAGGCCCGTAATCTGCCAGCACCCTATGTCAAAAAATTCTACACACCAGCAGTGTGTGAGGAGACCTGAAAGTGGCACATGGCAGAGTGTGGCGATGGAGACAGCAGCAATGGGATGGGAGGCCGTACAGGGACCCATGAGAGACTCTGGACCTGGCAGCAGCAGCATGAGGAGGGAGGCGGTATATAGGGGCCTATGGCAGATTAGGGGCCTGGGCTGGCAGCAGCTATATGGGAGGCCCGTAATCTGCCAGCACCCTATGTCAAAAAATTCTACACACCAGCAGTGTGTGAGGAGACCTGAAAGTGGCACATGGCAGAGTGTGGCGATGGAGACAGCAGCAATGGGAGGCCGTACAGGGACCCATGAGAGACTCTGGACCTGGCAGCAGCAGGAGGCGGATATATAGGGGCCTATGGCAGATTAGGGGCCTGGCAGCAGCTATGGGAGGCCCGTAATCTGCCAGCACCCTATGTCAAAAAAATTCTACACACAGCAGCAGTGTGAGGAGACCTGAAAGTGGCACATGGCAGAGTGTGGCGATGGAGACAGCAGCAATGGGAGGCCGTACAGGGACCCATGAGAGACTCTGGACCTGGCAGCAGCATGAGGAGGCGGTATATAGGGGCCTATGGCAGATTAGGGGGGGCCTGGCAGCAGCTATGGGAGGCCCGTAATCTGCCAGCACCCTATGTCAAAAAATTCTACACACCAGCAGCAGTGTGAGGAGACCTGAAAGTGGCACATGGCAGAGTGTGGCGATGGAGACAGCAGCAATGGGAGGCCGTACAGGGACCCATGAGAGACTCTGGACCTGGCAGCAGCATGAGGAGGCGGTATATAGGGGCCTATGGCAGATTAGGGGCCTGGCAGCAGCTATGGGAGGCCGTAATCTGCCAGCACCCTATGTCAAAAAATTCTACACACCAGCAGTGTGTGAGGAGACCTGAAAGTGGCACATGGCAGAGTGTGGCGATGGAGACAGCAGCAATGGGAGGCCGTACAGGGACCCATGAGAGACTCTGGACCTGGCAGCCAGCAGCATGAGGAGGCGGTATATAGGGGCCCATGGCAGATTAGGGGCTGGCTGGCAGCAGCTATGGGAGGCCCGTAATCTGCCAGCACCCTATGTCAAAAAATTCTACACACCAGCAGTGTGTGAGGAGACCTGAAAGTGGCACATGGCAGAGTGTGGCGATGGAGAGACAGCAGCAATGGGAGGCCGTACAGGGACCCATGAGAGACTCTGGACTGGCAGCAGCATGAGGAGGCGGTATATAGGGGCCTATGGCAGATTAGGGGCCTGGCAGCAGCTATGGGAGGCCCGTAATCTGCCAGCACCCTATGTCAAAAAAATTCAACACACCAGCAGTGTGTGAGGAGACCTGAAAGTGGCACATGGCAGAGTGTGGCGATGGAGACAGCAGCAATGGGAGGCCGTACAGGGACCCATGAGAGACTCTGGACCTGGCAGCAGCATGAGGAGGCGGTATATAGGGGCCTATGGCAGATTAGGGGCCTGGCAGCAGCTATGGGAGGCCCGTAATCTGCCAGCACCCTATGTCAAAAAATTCTACACACCAGCAGTGTGTGAGGAGACCTGAAAGTGGCACATGGCAGAGTGTGTGGCGATGGAGACAGCAGCAATGGGAGGCCGTACAGGGACCCACCCATGAGAGACTCTGGACCTGGCAGCAGCATGAGGAGGCGGTATATAGGGGCCCATGGCAGATTAGGGGCCTGGCAGCAGCTATGGGAGGGCCCGTAATCTGCCAGCACCCTATGTCAAAAAAAAATTCTACACACCAGCAGTGTGTGACCTGGAGACCTGAAAGTGGCACATGGCAGAGTGTGTGGCGATGGAGACAGCAGCAATGGGAGGCCGTACAGGGACCCATGAGAGACTCTGGACCTGGCAGCAGCATGAGGAGGCGGTATGGGGCCTATGGCAGATTAGGGGCCTGGCAGCAGCTATGGGAGGCCCGTAATCTGCCAGCACCCTATGTCAAAAAATTCAACACACCAGCAGTGTGTGAGGAGACCTCAAAGTGGCACATGTTTGAGGCATGATTCATGGCGGATTTAGTCAGTTGTGTCAGGAACTGGTGGTTTGAAATCCAGACTAAATCCACGCCTGATTCATTTTCACAAACGTGAGTCTCTCCACACTTTGGGTGGACAGTCGTGTCCTCCGCGGAGTTACAATACCTCCTGCCGCACTAAACACGCGCTCCGATGCCACGCTACTGGCCGGGCATGACAGCCTTTCAAGGGCAAATTCAGCTAGTTGGGGCCAAAGGTCAAGTTTCGTTGCCCAGTAGTCAAGGGGATTGTCTACCTCGGTTGGCAGGGTGCTGTCCAAGTAGGCCCAAGCCTGTTGTTTGAGGTCCTGCTCCAGGTCCACCTGATGCTGCTGCTGCTGCTGCTGCTGCGGCTGGTTAGTAGTTTCCTCACTGCGCTGGTGAAGAAAGCTACTCATCATCGACTGCAGACTGAGGCAGCCGCTGCTGGTGGAGCTGCCACTGCTCCTACCACCCCCCCCCCCCCTGCTGCCATGGCAGCGGAACGCGAGCGCACAGGGCCCACAGTGTCTGAGGATGGACGTTGGCGCACAAAGGCAGAGACCAACTGACTACATAGGTGGTTTTTATAGTACGTTATTTTGGCCTCCCTCTCAGCAGTGTGTGAAAAAGGCCACCATTTTGGAACGGTAGCGAGGGTCCAACAAGGTGGACAGCCAAAAGTCATCCCTCTGTCTGATGGTTATTATTCGGCTGTCGCTACGCAAGCAACCGAGCATGCTATGGGCCATTTGTGCCAAGGAATGCGAGGGACTCCCTGCCTCCATCTCCACAGCATACTGCCACGGTGCGTCTGGGTCCTCTGTCTCTCCTCCTCCTCCTCCTCTACCAGATGCTCCTGCTCCTCCACTCCTGTCCGCTGAGTGGAAAAACCACCCATTTCACTCAATAATTCCTGAGCACAAATGTCCTCCTCTACCTCCTCCTCCTCTTCTTCCTGTCCTGCCCCCACAGGGGTCATGTGGCGTTGAGATCTGTGCGCCACGTCTACCGCACCCTGACCAGCCATTGTTAACAGCATTTGTTCAAGGACGTGCAACAGAGGAATGACGTCGTTCATCCCATAGTCCTGCCGACTCACGAATAGCGTGGCCTCCTCAAAGGGCCTGAGCAAGCGGCAGGTGTCACGCATGAGCTGCCAATGGCTGACATCGAAGTTACACAGGGGAGTACCTTTATCCGCTTGTAACATCAGGAAATCGGTGATGGCCTTTCGCTGCTCGTAAAGGCGGTCTAACATGTGTAGGGTTGAATTCCACCTTGTTGCAACGTCGCAGATCAGGCGATGATGTGGAATTCCGTTCTGCCGCTGCAGCTCAAGGAGGGGTGTGCTTTGCGGTGTAGGAATGGCTGAAATGCATGCAAAGTTTACGTGACATTTTAAGGATGTCTTGCAGTGGGATGGTGGATTTTAGGAACCGCTTGACAACCAGATTGAACACGTGAGCCATGCATGGCGCATGGCACACAACCTTCCTTGACGCAGAGCAGACACCATGTTCTTTCCGTTGTCGGTCAACATGGTTCCGATTTTCAGTTTGCGCGGAGACAGCCATCTGTCGATTTCTCTGTTCATTACACTCAGAAGTTCCTCCCCTGTGTGACTACGTTCGCCAAGGCATACCAGGTGCAGAACAGCGTGACACCGTTGCGCCCTGCACATGTGATATGCCGGTCGGGTAATGGGACTTGGCACGGGGGGGGGGGTGGCGGCTGAGGACACGGCGGAAGAAGAGGTGGTAGAGGCGGACATCTTTGCCGGACCAAGGACGTGCAAACGTGGAGGCAAAAGCGGCGTGACCTGTCCAAGTTGCTGGTGCGGCTGTGTGACGGCACCACGTTCACCCAGTGGGCCGTAAATGACATGTACTGTCCCTGACCGTAGTTACAGCTCCACACGTCGGCGCTGCCGTGCACTTTGGCAGAGACCGACATGCTCAAAGACTGGCCCACCATGTCTTCTACATGTGAATGCAGGGCTGGCACTGCCTTTTTTTTGGCGAAGAAATGACGGCTTGGCACTCTCCACCGCGGCGCGGCACAAGCCATCATTTCTCTGAAAGGTGCTGAGTCCACCACTTGGAAAGGGAGGGGGACTGCAGCACCAGCAACTTGGACAGGAGGACGTTCAGCTTTTGCACCGTCGGGTGCGTGCTCGCAAAAACTGTTGTCTCTTGGAAACGGATTCCAAGAAAGACTGCTGACGGAATCCGTGTGAAGAGGAGTAGCAGGAGAAGGAGCATCTGAACGAGCGGAAGATGCCAACGAGCGACAACTCCCCTCAGCAGAGGTGTGTGGAGAGCCTTGACTGGCTGATGGAGGGCGATTGACGTCGGGTGACGGAGCAAGTAACGGAGCGGGTGATGGATGGAGGGGGCTGGGGCGGGCAGAACCGCCGTATCTTTATCACGGTTTTCCCAGGCCACCAAATGGCGACGCTGCATATGCTGCCGCAACGCTGTAGTCCCAACATGGGCCCCCTGGCCACGCTTGACTTTCTGGCCACATAGTCGACATACGGCTACGTTTACTTCCTCGGGCGGCTTGACGAAAAATTGCCACACCGCCGAGTAGGAAACTTTGCCCCCGATACTCCTCACTGGCTGACTGCTGCTTCCTCCGTGCACACCGGCACCACTACTGGCCGTGGTGGTAGGCTGCAGTGGAGCTGGTGCTCTACTCCGTGGCCGTTTGGCTCCACTGACACTGCTTCCACTGACACTGCTGCGACCCTGCTGCTGTCTCCTGGGCAACCCACCGACTGTTTCGCTCACTGCCAAGCTGCCACCCTCTTCTCCCTGATGATGATGCGGAAGAAATTGCCTGATGACGACGAGGCTGCCAAGTGCGATCAACCTCCTCATCATCAAGTAGTAGGGTCTCCGCCTCACTACTAGCCCCCTCGGCTGCGTCTGGGTCAGGAGACAGACCTGTCTCTAGACCGGCTACCGGGCCACTCTCCTCGCCACTACTTCTTCGCCTGGCTGCTGAAAAGGCGGATGTCTCCCCCCGTTCCTGACCGCCCTCTGTTAGCTCTTCCTCACTGTACAGTGGGGCTGAGCCCACAGCATGCGATACTTCGCTTGGTGAGGGAACACCAAAGGACAGGGGCAGGTAGAGGACACGTGATTTCAGTGGGCTTGGTCCCGGGCCATGCCAACTAACGGTTGTGTCTGACGTACCCACCGACCGTTGGCTGTAGGTGTCAGAGGTGACCTGGGAAGAGGAAGACGACCGAGCCAACCAATCGATGACGGCAGGGTTGTCGGTGGAGACACGACCGCTGGATGACACCGGGAGCACTGGCCTCTGGCTGCGAATAGTGCTGCCTCGACCCCTTCCTCTGCTGCCACGTCTGCTCGCTCCTAAAACATTGCCTCCTCTGCCACTCCTCTGCATGTTGTCTGACATACTCTTTAATTAAACGATTATGTGTGTCCTGTCCCTGAGTAACAATTCTGTGTCCCTGAGTAACAATTTCTGTGTCTGTGCGAGTAACAATTCTGTGGCCCTAAGTAACAGTTCTGTGGCCCTCAGTAACAATTCTGTGTCCCTCAGTAATTTTCTGTGGCCCCAAGTAACAGTTTCTGTGGCCCTCAGTAACAATTCTGTGTCCCTGCGAGTAACAATTCTGTGTCTGTGCGAGTAACAATTCTGTTCTGTGGCCCTAAGTAACAGTTCTGTGGCCCTCAGTAACAGTTCTGTGTCCCTGAGTAACAATTCTGTGTCTGTGCGAGTAACAATTCTGTGTCTGTGCGAGTAACAATTCTGTGGCCCTAAGTAACAGTTCTGTGGCCCTCAGTAACAGTTCTGTGTCCCTGAGTAACAATTCTGTGTCTGTGCTGAGTAACAATTCTGTGTCTGCCCGAGTAACAATTCTGTGGCCCTAAGTAACAAGTTTCTGTGCCCTCAGTAACAGTTCTGTGTCCCTGAGTAACAATTCTGTGTCTGTGCTGAGTAACAATTCTGTGTGTTCTGTGGCCCTCAGAGTAACAATTCTGTGGCCCTAAGTAACAGTTCTGTGGCCCTCAGTAACAATTCTGTGCCCTGTGCAGTAACAATTCTGTGTCTGTGCGAGTAACAATTCTGTGGCCCTAAAGTAACAGTTCTGTGGCCCCAGTAACATTCTGTTCTGTGTCCTGATTAACGTTTCTGTGGCCCCAAGTAACAGTTCTGTGGCCCTCAGTAAACATTCTGTGTCTGCGAGTAACAATTCTGTGTCTGTGCGAGTAACAATTCTGTGGCCCTAAGTAACAGTTCTGTGGCCCTCAGTAACAATTCTGTGTCCCTGATTAAACGTTTCTGTGGCCCCAAGTAACAGTTCTGTGGCCCCAAGTAACAGTTCTCAGTAACAATTCTGTGTCTGTGCGAGTAACAATTCTGTGTCTGTGCGAGTAACAATTGTGGCCCTAGAGTAACAGTTCTGTGGCCCTAAGTAACAGTTCTGTGGCCCTGTAACAATTCTGTCCCCGAGTAACAATTCTGTAACAGTTCTGTGCCTGAGTAACAATTCTGTGTCTGTGCGAGTAACAATTCTGTGTCTGTGCGAGTAACAATTCTGTGGCCCTAAGTAACAGTTCTGTGGCCCTCAGTAACAGTTCTGTGTCCCTGTGGAGTAACAATTCTGTGGCCCTGCGAGTAACAATTCTGTGTCTGCCTGTGCGAGTAACAATTCTGTGTCTGTGCGAGAGTAACAATTCTGTGGCCCTAAGTAACAATTCTGTGGCCCTAAGTAACGGTTCTGTGGCCCTCAGTAACAGTTCTGTGTCCCTCGAGTAACAATTCTGTGTCTGTGCGAGTAACAATTCTGTGGCCCTAAGTAACATTCTGTGGCCCTCAGTCTGTG